AAATCTTTTAAATGAGCTGATTCAGTGAAGCAGTTCACTCAAAAGTGCTGCCATCACTGTCATTAACTGGGATAAGAAATTAAAGTTTTATTAACAGAACTTGAAATGACAGACTGTGGCAGTGATTCCCAGCCCTGTTCCTCAGGGACCCCTACACCCTGCATGTTTTAAATACCTTTCTGTTCCAGCACACCTGATTTAAATTAGTGCTCCTCCTCTGCTGTCAAGTGCTACAGAAGCCTGTTTATCATCCAGTGTTTTTGTTGTGATGCAAACAGAAAACACCTTAAACATGCAGGACAAGGTCCCCGAGGACCGGGATTGGGAATCATTGAACTAAAGTGACAAAATTGAGTCAACATACATTGACATATGCAGAAGGCAAGCAGATTTGAATATTTTCATCCCAAAATAAAACTATTCACAGAAATGAGTCAAAATATTGTTCAATACATTGTTGCAACTGCCTGTTTCTTCAGTGTTCTTTAATTGACGGTCTCTGTTTACTGTTGCCAACTTTGAATGTTGAGTTTTAATTTACACTGAAGGCAGAACATTATACTAATTTCATGTTTATCATTAAAAGCATGAGACCAGGTTAAAGATAATATAATACATGTTATTCTCTAGGATGTTTTCCCTTTTTATTGTAGAACACAGCAAAGCTAACAGGGCTACCCAATTGTAAAAAACACAAAAGTCCTCAGAAAAAAATCCTTTTTAAATAAAGGTTTGGATGTTGCATGGGGGCAGACGTAGATCATACGACCAATGCATTGAAGCCTCAGTGCTAAACACAGCAGTCATGGCTTTGAGTCTCTACCCTGACTAGATAGAGTCGAGGTTTTCAAGCCCAAACATCCTTTAAAATCAGCCACATCACACAAAAAAACACCCAATTAATATAATATTATATTTACTGTGTGAACATGAACACACTTCATCCATCCATTTTCTGACACGCTTTATCCCAAGCGGGGTCATGAGGGGTGCTGGTGCCTATCTCCAGCTTTCTACGGGCGAGAGGCGGGTCCACCCTGGACAGGTTGTCAGTCCATCGCAGGGCAACACTAAGGAGAATTTAGAGAAGACAATTAATCTAATAGTCATGTTTTTGGACTGTGGGAAAAAGCCAAAGTATCCTGAGAGAACTCACACATGCTCAGGGAGAACATGAAAACTCCATGCAGGAGTACACCGGGCCAGGAATCGAACCCGCAACCTTCCACTGAGCAGCCCCATCTGAAAGGCTCCAATCTCATCCTGCAGAATGTCAGACAAGTTTTCCACTGCATTAATGGAAGTGTGGAAAGCTATGTATGATGCAATACGGAGTTCACAGCGTTTCTGGTCGTCACGAAGCTCCCTGCTAGCATTACTCACTGATGCCACCATGTAATACTTTAAGGGGGAAGGCACCGCATTCTGTGCTTCTTTGTTTTGGCATGTTCCTGAACATCTTTCAAGTGTTTCATCATTTTTAGTTTGCGCTATCCATAATTAAATTTTTTCTGTAACACAGATGATATTTTCCCCACTTTAGCATCTTCCTGCTTGGTTTATCACACCAGATCCACCTGCTGCACAAACTAGCATAATTATTTGTGCCACTACACTAGTTCTCTGTTGTAAACACCCTGGCAGCTGACATTAGCCAATCAGTGAGGAAGAAAGGTCAGAGAGGCTTTGCTATGAACCAGTAATGATGAATGATTAGTGGACACGTGTTTTAATAGGTTAACTCAAAAACCGCAGATCTGACTCAGAACCGGCCCAAATTACCTCCACCAGCCCAAAGCAACTTTTACACGCAAAATCCAAATAAAAAAGACACACTGTTGGCTGCATGTCTTCTTTCCACCCGATTTCTTCAAATAATCTAAAAATCGTGCCAACTTATCAAAGACAGCCTTTATACCTTTTATATCCTTTAACATATTTTATACTTTATTTTTAAAAGGAAAATTCAAACTAAAATATATTTTTATAAAAGCACAATAGTCTCAGCAATAAATTATAAGAAAATGATTAAACTGTCACATATCCCTGTAAATTCATCCAATGGATGTTTAAGCATCTACGGCCTCCACTGACATATTCCACTGCTAATGCTGTATGCTAATATGATAAAATAAAAATAAAAAGTAAAATAGTTCTTTCTAAAAATGTTGCATATAGAGAACTATTTTAAAATGGATGCAATGTGACATGGAAAACTCCAGACAAATTGAAGAATCTTACTATATCTTTAACACTAATGTTGCCTCTTGGATCTCAGTTCAGTATTATGCTTAGAACAAAGGGAGGTTTAAATGAATGTTTTATTGAAGGGTAACAGCAATTATAACGTCTTAACTTGTGCCGCAGCGTGTTTTAAAGAAAAATGAAACCTGTATTTCTGTATCCAGATGTTCTTTTTTACAAAACAGATGACATCCTGTGTGAACTGCTACAGCTTTAATTTTCAAGAGTGAGCTTATTGTCGTTATAACTTATGACAGATTTAGTAAATTACCATAAACTCATTATCAACATAAAAAAGAGGATCGATGTGCAGAACAAAGAATATTTCTGATTTTTCAAGCTTCTATTTTAGTTTTTTTCACTTCTCTAACTCTCAAAAGGAAACATTTAATCTTTTAAACCTGACTTGTCATCTTAAAACCTTCATTTGTATTTTATAACCCAACATTTCAGAACTGAAAGCCTGTTGATAAGAACCCATGCTGAGTTCCACATCCAGCGGTCGTGTTTATCCTGCACCTTCGTCATGCAGTGCCTGCCCGTTGTAGAGATTATATTTACTCTGTGCTGCCGTAAGCACCTCTGCTAACAGATTATATGAATTAAGGCCTTATTATGGGCTCTGTCCAGGAGCTGCATGTACAGGTGATATGTAATAAGGACAGTGTTGAGGTGAGTCAGCACCGACTGGCTTCATCACAGGAGGAAACCCCCTCACTCATCTGCAGGGTGAAGGGAAGGACACATAGTAGGTCTCTCAGTGCTTTATGGGAAGGCAACTCTCAAACACTGATTTTATTTCAACAATTCCTGTAAAATAGTCACACAAAAGAAAACACAGTCAAGCCAGTTTGCTTCATAGGAATTTATCAATATTTTATATGATTTTGTAGCAAAATGTTTTCACACAAACAGTTTATTTGAATTTTTCTGCTAGAAGTTCAGGTGAGAATCATGTCTATGTTGAGTCAAGTACACATTTAATTTATAGTGTTAGCAGAGTGGAGAGGGAGGATACATGATGTTACATGCAGTAACATGCATTCACTTCAAATAAGTAGACAGATCTTTGTCAATTTGTTATAAGACTGATATGCTAATGTGGTGTGTTTGGGCCGGCAGAAGAAATGTACGAATTGGAAGTCAGACTTAGCTGGATTAAAAAAATAATAATAATTCAAGCGAGTATTTAACATTAGAGTTATGGGAGGCAATTGTACCTTATCAAATCAGGCTTACCTACACAATATAAACCAGAGATGTTTGATTGATTCAAGACTTCAGAATTTTCTAGTCCTCCACTCCAGTTGTAACATCATGTAAGATCCCATTTCAGAAAGCCAACTAACAACCATCTTTTGTTGGTACACCACATTAAAGCACCTTCTCACTGTTTGCTTCACATGAAAATAAAAGTACTACTGCACAATCCCCAACCCACCCCTTACATTCTCACCCGGTTATTGTACAAAAAATATACCAATATACAGAATAGTACAGTTACTGTAAGAGGAAAAGGAAATGATGATCACCCAACATTTTGAAATGTAGTAGAGTCCCACAGAATACTGAGAAAGGCATAGAAATGAAGAGATGTTGCAGCTATATTGAGGCAGTGATCTGAAAGGGGACAAATTTTAAGTACCTTGCTGCAATATACAGCTCTCAGGTGAATGGAGTCAGTTAACACATTGATCAAAATAGGTTCTGTTTCATGCAATGTGATAAAACAAATTTCAAAACTTTGCAGCTTATTGCCTCCTTGAAAGTCATCTCTCCTTTTTTGTTTAAATAAAATCTTTTCATGAGCAGCATAGTGACCTTTATGCAGCCAATAAATGACAAATTCTTTCATTTAACCTGGCTGCAAGAGTAATTATCATGCTTTCTTGTTTGTGTTGCTTCAAGAGATTCAGAGTCCGGTGATATATCATGCTGTTTGCTGCTTCGGGCAAATGATTAAAAGGGCTTGATGAATTTCAAACACCATTTGCTTTTGGCTACAGTAATTTGTGCTGATAGTATCTGAAACCGCACTCTGAAGCAAACAACGTTAACATCAATGAGCCATCGGTCTGCAGGGACTCCTGCAAACAGGCACCCAATAATCAAATTACTTGCACAGCTGGATTTCAACCTCAGCTGGACAAATGCTTTAATTGTCTCCTTGGAGACCAACTGGGTACTTTACAGACTGAGAAAACAAGAATGGGGAAAACAAGCTAACAGCTATTCCAAAAGTTGACCCAGACCATTCATTACCATGTAAGCACTCATAGTTTTAGATTTTGAACACCTACTTTTGCATATGCTGATCTCACTGATCTCTTTGTGCTCATTGTTGTTGCTGCTTTGTCAAGAAAAATATGGATGATGAACTTACTCAAAGTAAGACAACTTTCTTCTTCTTAGGGCCAGTAACCTCTGAACAAACTGTCCATCTGCTAAAAAAAAAACCCTAAGCTTTCCTCCACAAAACTTTGGTTGAGACCCTTTTTAGGACTTCTAGATTAAAAAGCAGGAAAATGTTTGACTGAGCTGTTCTTGACTCAACGCCGATTGTTTGCTGTGGTTCCTGCTCTGATTAGCTGTTAGCTTGACTCCTCAAAGTCAGTTCCTACCTGTTTTCCAAGATAATATTTTCTGTGATTGATGGGTACCTCTTTTGAGATAATGAATCAACCCTTTTAAAACTTGGATAGCAAAGCTTGTGGTTTATGTTGGTGTCGAGTTATTTTCCCACACTCACCTTTTCCCACACTCACCTTATGCATAACTTAAGGAATTTCTGAGAAGAAAAGTTATAAAATGGCAACATGAGAGTTGGTACATCCTGTGTAAACCTGTTTTTAATGTTCCAAGGTGAGTCTGTCTTCTGATGAATCACCTGAAAAAATAAATAGTAAAAATGGTAAAAAAAATAAACCAGAAGAAAATAAAAATGATTTTGTATTAATCTTCTACTATACTAACTCCTGTGGTCCCCTTCTTCATAAAGCTGGAGTATTTCCATGTTCAATCTGCAACATGTGATCTAGGTTATCACAGGTGAGGCAAATCTTTGAATAGTTCCTTTTGAGACGTAAATCCAGTTCAAATATCTCTCTGTCCATACAAATCATTTCTCCAGTCGATTCAAACATATTTCAAATATTGAGAGTTCTGATCTTATGTATCTTTTGTTTTTTTTCACATAATCGTTTAAACAATATTCACATGGATGAACTTCATCGAGAACATCCCTCTGTGTTCATGTTTCTTAAGTTTTTAATATAGATCTATAATTTGGTCAAAGAGTCAGACTGTGCTCTCCATTACCCATTCAGAGCTCTCAAAAGAAGGCTTCTCCTCCTCACTGTCTTCAAACTGCAGAAGCATGCCGTTAACAGACAGGCTGCGTTTAGTCCAGATGTTGCTGATCCTCCGTGGCTGGTTGCTGCGGCACTGTGCAGCTCCAACATGCCCCATGTCAAATGAGTGACTCCTCTTGGGTTTTGCCTCTTGGGGATACCCAAGTAGGCGTCCCAGCATTGTTGTGGACTCCGCCCTCCCAAGCAGGGGTTCTTTATCAGATGGTGGGGCCACAGCCACTGTGGTCATGGCATTGGGAGCAGCAGAGGAGCACGAGGCAGAAGCACCCGGGTGCTCCTTTGCTGCGCCTCGCAGCTCTAGTGAGGTAAAGGCTCCTAAAAGGTGGTCGAGGCTTTGCCGTGCCTTGGTGCCATGCACGTGTCGTCTAAACTTGCTGCTTGGCAGGGTGGTGAATTCATTGCTCTGAACGTTATAGCGGTCAGCTGCTTCTCTTCCTGTTTGGCTGTCCAACGAGTTAGAGGAGGATGAGGATGAAGAAAGGCTGCTCTGAAGAGATCCACACTTGAACTCCAGCATTTCCTCACGCATGACCACCACTGTGGACTTGACCTGCGGTGGGGCTCCATTGAACCTGTTCACACCCCCATTAGTCTGGGAGTATGTGTTACTCACAGTGGGTAATTTACTGGTTTGAATTCCACTGGTGACCTTATAACGAACCATTAGAATGATGATGAAGACCAGCAAAATGGAAACAATAATGCCCCCGATGACCAGAATCATGGTGCCCCCCATAAAGCCACTATGCAGAGATTGGCACTGCGGGTAATCGTCCGTAGTGATGAACTGGACACATCCAACAATGTTGGTAGCAGTGAGAGTGGTTGCTGTGTCGTCCCAGATGGCCAGGACGCACAGGTCGTACTGCATTCCAGGCATCAAATTAGTGACAACAAAGGCCCGGTGAGTCCGAGGAATCATCCTAAACAAGAAATAAGAGGATAAAACTTGGCAATTGTCTTTTCACAAGAGATCAAAACATTCATGAGTAGCTATTTATATGCAGAGACTAATTGACAGTAATGCATTTTTTTCAACTGTATTACATCTGATGAGGCTAAATATCTATTGCTTGGATGTGAACTTCTGACAAAACAATCTTGCATAATTAATTAAAGTGGAAAATAAAGAAAACTGCTCTTTTAGTTTCCATAAAGACAATAATCCAGAGATGAAATGATGCTCTGTCATGGTTTAACATATCAGCATGTTCCACCTTTCTTAAGGCCTCAATACAACTGTTATCCATTATGTAAACTAACTGCCTTGCAGATAGAGTACTCAAAGAATTAGCTGTAGTCAGAGTATTGATACTCTCACAACAGTAAAAGTTAAGTAAAAGTAGCAACTACAGTGAAGTACAACTATTACTAAATGTATTTTTTTTAAGTTACTCAAGTAAATGTCACTGAGTAAATGTAACTAGTAACTACCCATTTCTGCTGCAGGTTTGACACCTCAACATGATTAATCTGCATCCACATGCAGATTTGATTGCTTTTAACCCTTTAAATGCCTCAGTGGGAAAAAAAAGAGCTAAAAGTGAAAATTTGCCAACAATATAAGAATTACCTGATTTCAAATCAGAGACCATTTTTTTTATTTAGGTATTTTGCTAATTACTTTGAATTGTTTATTTTATTTTTTTTTGTGCATAAGCTCATTTCAGTGTGAGTGTTTCATTTGTCTTGTTTTGAAACTGATAAATCCTCCTTATGTATTAAACTCTAGACCCAACAAACTGATGTGACATTAGACTTAATGTCTTAACTTAGTTACTGTAACTGCATTTTACCACGTTCCTTTGAGTCTAATGAAAACATTAAAACTATTTACCAATAAAAAAATGATAAATAATATCATTTTGCTTTCTTTATCAACAAATAAATAATCGAGTAGCTTTTAAACATATAGCAAAATAATTCATGTGATTTTGTAGTAATAAAAAAAAGAAACATTAGAGATGATATTTAAAAGAAAAAATGTTTTCAGGGAATTGGTTTAGCTTTGTCAAGTTCCTCATGAATGCAAATGTAGATGACTCATCCAATATTGTGTCGCCAAGCAGAAAAAGAAGACTGTTGGCACAGAATGTGCATGAAAGGGAAGAAAATCAGATAAAAAAGCTTATTATTGAATTTGCAGGGATGTGAGATGCATCAACATTGCTTGAGTAAAGTAAGATCTCTCTTCATTGCTGTTTTTGCTAATGATTTCTAGCTTAAAAACCAGTTCTCTGCTGATAATAATGAAAATAAAAACAATGAAGAAATTTAGGAAATGTGTTGTTAGTTTTGGGGCTCTGAAAGAGAGACTCAGGCTGCCTTACAACATAGTTATAGTCTAGAAAGATCTATAAACCTGTTACCTCAGGGGACACTAAATCTAGGCAAGGCAATTTTGCCACTTTTTATGCACCCTCAATTTTCAGTTGAACATTAAGATTTATTATAATTTTTTTGTGTTGCTTTTTTCCTCTATTGATTTCCAGACAATTATCGGTCTGAATCCACTCAAGATCTCATTTAAACCAGGACATTGATTTCACAGAGCCCCAAATATCTTCTGCTACTGTCGTCAAGGCCAATGCTTGTATGGAGTTCAGAAGCTTAAAAGGAATACATTAGAATGAGCTCTATAATCCCTTTTCTTCCTGGGTTTCTAATTAATGGTTCAGGGCAGGGATTTCCCTTTGGATTTCTCAGACTGTGAAAGCTGCATCACTACACGTTGTCTGGTTTATGGTGAAAAAAAGAAAACCAAAAGAGGATTAAGAAAGATGAATGTTGATCTTGGGGAAATGCTTCAGAAGAAATAATTGTCTCAAGAGCTTACAGCAAACAAATAACAATCAACTCAGAAACCTGAACTGATCACAACATTCTGAGGCAAAATAAATCAATCTGTGGCTTAACTAGCCTCTTGGATGAGTCAAAACTCATCCTAGACTTAGAAATACATGCCAGCAATTTGTCAATCTTACCTGTAAATGAGGACTTCATCGTCGGAACAGTTGTACTGCAGTTGAAACATTTTGACCTTTGGAGTTGATTTGCTTACAGTCCACTTCACCAAAGCTGACGCGGCGGTCACTTCAGATACGGACACAACCTTTTCTGGAAGAGGCTTTGGTTCGCCTTTGCTTATTTTAGTAGAGCTTGTGATGTCTGAAAGTCCTGATTTTGGCAGTGTTGTACGATTGGTACTGTTAGTTATGTGGGGTAGTTGAATGATTGATAGCTCGATAGAGGCTGTAGACTCCCCAGCAGCGTTAGCAGCAATGCAAGTGAAAATGCCATAGTCTTTGGATGTGGTGACTGCTATATCAAGGGTGCCATTTTCATAAACAGTTGCTCTTGAGGAGTTGCCGATCAATCGATCATCTGGAGCAACCCAGTGCACAGTTGGCATTGGATCTCCAACTGCTTTGCAACGTAAGCTAGCTGTTTGGCCCTCCAGCACTAGCAGCCTATGAGTATGTTGAGTGATCAGTGGAGGTTCGCAGACAAATTCCTCCTCCCGAACAGACCAGAAGTAGCGCCCCTTTAGACTGGCTGGAGAGGCACAAGTTTCCATATCGTCGTCACGGTCCAGCCTTCGCAGCCACAGTACCTCACAGTTACAGTGCAGAGGGTTTCCGCCGAAGCTCAAAGAGAGTTGAGGTGCATAAGGAGTGCTCATTAACATACTGGTCTGGGAGCGTGCAAAGATGGGGTCCGGAGGGAGCTTCTGGAGACGGTTGGAAGTCAGATCCAGCCGAGCCAGTTTCTCAAGGTCTGTAAAAGTCCCTTCAGCAATAAAGGAGATGAGGTTATGGTCCAAACTCATCTGATGCAGGTTTACCATTTTACGAATGGCCTCCCAAGGCACACTGCGCAGGTTGTTGTAAGACAAATCCAGATCCTCTAATGTTAGCAATAAATCATCGAAAGCTGAATCTGAAATTTCATTGAGCTGATTGTTGTTGAGGATCAGGTGCTGCAGATTGATTAGTCCTCTTAGGTCATCTGCTCCCAGTTCAGTCAGCCGGTTGCTGTCAAGGTGCAGGGACCTTAAGGTCTCCAGATCAATAAAAGAAAAGGGCTGGATGCTGCTAATAGTGTTGCGGGACAAAGTGAGATCCACCAGGCCGGTCATGTTGGCAAAGTCCTGAGTGGTGACCTTAAGAATGAAGTTGCCACCCAACCGGAGCTCTACAGTTCTTCTGTCGATGTCCGGTGGCACAAAGAGCAGACCTTTGGAGGGGCACAAAGTCCCCAGAGACTCTGAGAGGTTCTGGCAGACGCAGTATTTGGGACATGCATGGACCATTGTCATAGCGGTTCCCAGAATCAGGAGGCAGATGACCACTTTGTCCATGTTACCTCATTAAAGGGAACCTGGAAGAGAAGAAATAAATAGGAAATTGTTATAGTTGTGGCATTCTTTAATTTACACAATGTCCCTTGCACTGTCATGATAATTCAGATTTTCAGCATCATAATCTGGTTCCTAGATTCGATAATCCAAAGAACATTTTTTTAAGGAAATGTTACGCCTTTATCTTGGAGAGTACCCAAGTCTGTCCTTTAGTAACCTCTACATTTGTCTCTTCATTTATTTTTTTTATTCGAATCAACTCTTCTCCTCAATCTTTTTTCACATTATTTGTAAAAATTGTAAAACAAAAGCAATACAGGAAAGAAAGCTGCAGGTGTTAGATGAAACCGGCACGCCTCCATGAACATTTAAACAACCCTCACACCTGACTGACTCCTCTGAATGAATGCTAACGATTGACTTCATCTGGAAAACTTTTAATTCCCCAGAATGTTTGTACCATTAATTTCTATTATGCTCAAATTGAAAAAAATCAATCTTTTTTGTTCTTTCCAAGTAATTTTTTCTAATGAAAAACTAGGTTTTTTCTCCTCTCAGAAATGATGGGGACACCGAGATATTCTTCCTTTGTTATGTTTCAGAGAGGGAGACGCAGTTTGCCCTTGTTGATGAGATTAGCAATAGAGTAGAGCTCAGGAATTTTAAAACCCTGAAGCTAAACTGCAAAACTGTTCAACAAAGGTGAACTTTCTCTGCTTAGCTTTGTTAATCAAGAGTATCTGATTATATTAGATATTTTCTGCATCATTCAACACCTTTTATACAACAGGATACATCCCCATACTTTTGCAGATTTCTAAACATAAACATTGTTGCTAAAAATAGCATAAAAGATGACATTTTTTGAATTTTTTTTGTAAATATTACTGTTTTTTTTAGGTCATTGCTCTAAATAGAATTCATGTTAATTATTTATAGCCATTGATGTTTTTCTTAACATTTTGTTACATTGTAACTTCAAATGTAAAAATGTGTTTTTGTGGATTTTATTTAAGAAACCAAAACATTGAAACACAATTTAAAAATTATGAAAACATGACTGTGGCTTCAGTTTGAATCAGCCCCCTCCTCAAAAAAATAATTGGGTAAAAAAATATGTTTTATCCGAAAAAGCTTGCAAGATTTATGCACAATACGGAAAGGCCCTCTGACACCATCGGTACGTGACAAGGGTGAATGGTCATATGATAGAAAAAAAGCATTGAAAGCAGAGCCTGGGCTTGAACCAACACAGCTCGGGTTACAGGGCAAACTCCTGCTGCACACTGTGCCAGTTAGGTTGAAAACAATTATGTTTAACTTCGCATTAAATTATATTTGTCAATACACTTATATTGTAAACGGGAGTTGTTTTGAATTCATTTCATATGTGTGTAGAGTTAACGGTTTGCCCAGGATTTAAGTTTGATTCACACTTTTATTTGTTGTCCTAACACACAGTATGAGACATTCGAAAAGGTATTTGATACACAAAAAATGTGCCATCTCCACTTATGGCTCCTCCTTAGCGGGAGCTGCTGGGTCGACAGTGCTGTCTAACTGTACTACGGCTTATTATTCATTTAAATTCAATTCAGTTTATTTCTATAGCGCCAATTCACAACATGTCATCTCCAGGCACTTTACAGTTCACCAGATCATCTTTGTACAAGTAAACGTTGAAGGCCAGACCAGGGGTCAATCAAAACCTAAACATCAATAGGATGAAATACTCCACATATACAGCGGTACAGGAAAAAAAAAGAAAACCACAAGACGATAAAACCTGCACAGGCCTAAAACAGTAACAGTGTTATTTTGGTCTATTTGATAAAAATGTGATTTTCGGAACGGACAGCGTATTGACTCCCATCTGAGCTCTTCGTCTAGCGGCTAGAGTCTAGCCTACAGTGACCATGGATCTCTTGGCTGAATAAAGTTCTGCTTTTCAGCTCCGTAACTTTTGGCTGAGCCCAAAGTCTTGGTAGGTTTGCCGTTACACCTTCCAGTTTCAGATGATAGACTGAACAGTGTACTGAGAAATGCTTAAAGGCTGGGATATTGTTTAATAATCTAACCCTGGTCTAATCTAATCAGATGTATTCATGACCTCCTTGTGTTTATCTTGGTCTTTATACTGAGATCTAAATCTAAAAAATCCAAATCTGATAAAATAAGCTAAGAGAAAGGAATGAAGATAATTACATTTTAAAATTCAATTAGGAAAAATAACTCAACCATTGTTGGCATCTACTAAATTATATTTCGTTACTTTGACAGGATTTTTTCCTGTCCCACCCTGCTAACGTGAAATCATGTTGTTAAAGTAACTAAATATGACTAAATAGATGTCAAAAATGGTTGCATTATATTTTTTCAGTATAAAGATATGACTTCAGGTGTCCAACATCCTTCTTCTGAGACAGCTTTGTGTTTTAAATGGAACAAAAAAGAACCCTTAGCTTTCACCTGCCTGATGTTTGCTGTATAGATAAAAGCCACAAGGCTTGGGTGGCTAAAATTAATGATACACATGTGGCTCAATGTGAGAAAGTCCAGACAATTCCTAAGTTAATATATCTCTAGCTGTTAAAGCACACGAAGTCCAGCCAGCATATTTGAAATAAACTTGGGTTGTTTATTGCAAGTCTATACTCAATCATAAGCTGACCTTTTCTCTCTACGCTTCCACGCATTAAGGTCGTCACATAAGAACTCAAACAGCGCTGTTGAAACGGTATGAAATTCTGTAGAAGGATTTCTTTTCATCCCAATTCTTGCAGACTTGATGCAAAAGGTTCTGATCTACTCAGCACTCTGAAGCTAATCCCCACAAGGCTTCACAGCGAGAACTGTCAGAAATGACAGACAGTTTCTCTCACGGACCTGTTTTAATGGGTGGCATCTAGAAGCACTAACTAAAAAGCCCCTGAAATAGCTTCTTTTTTTTTTTTTCCAGTTGCTTTATAACTCCCCTCTTCTCTGCATGGGGACAAGTGGAGTAAGTAAGCATTTTTGAAACAGCAAAAAGTGCAGAGCTGCAAGTAGAGCTGGCTGAATCTCATAGCAATGAAATCTGAATATCATAAATTTACCATGTAGAGCATATGCTGTTTGTGGTTACCAAGCAACGAAAACTTGGTTAAATGAGTAAGATTGACCTTTCAGAGATGCAAGAGAGTCAGCCATAAAGAGATCAGAGCCAGGGTCAGTGTTTAAGGCTTTTAACCATTCACTCGCTGCCTGCTCTGAGTTACAAAACCACAAAAGAGCTGCAGAGACTCCAAGAGGTGGTATGGATTTATAATCTATAAATTCAAACTAAGCTTCATGCAGAAGGCGATGCTCCTTCAGCACTTTTAAGATTTTTAGAAAATGAACTTTTTTCTACTCTGGTTTTACAGGGTTTATGCTCAATAAGTAACAAGAAAAGTAAAACATGGAAATGGATCTCTATTGTCTTATCAGCCTGTCCATTCATCCATTTATTTGCATTTGGCCATAAATGATTCAACTTTTTTATCTTTCATCCATTGCTACACATCTCTTCATTAATCTGTGTCTTAATTCATCCAATACTCAGGCAATACGTTTACCAGTCCATATAAATCCACTGAAATAAATCATTTAAAACATTTATTTTTAACTTTATAAATAGCTGAAAAGGATGGAGAACTTGAGAGGTGTGGGCAATTAATATCATTTTAATAGTGCAAATATGACGGAACTCTGATTCAACAACTGTGGGAGTAAACAACGGAATACAAATTATTACTTTTTTAAAGAAAATATAAACATTTCTATTTTAACTTTGCTTTTTATACGTCTCTGTCTCATGAAGCACAGATTTTCAGTTCCTCCAGGAAACAGTAGCTGACAAAGATCAATGTAATTTTATGCATTTCCAGAAAGGGAAGAAGAATTCATGGATCTAATGCCCAGGATGGAGCAACAAAGCAGACATCATCTGATCATCTGATCAGACCTTTAGTCTATCAGTTTGTTTGAGTAAATATTGATCTAAAAACCTAATCAAAATACCACAAACAGTTCTGCAATTCAGTCACTACTCATAAATAATTTATAATAGCTCCAACATTTTATTATTTTTGGAAGAGACAACATGAAATTATTCACAATGAAGCCAGTTTGTTCAAGCATGTGAAAATAAAAGTATATATTGTGGAAATAATAAACAAAATGTTTGCAGAGTGTTGATTAAGACTTAGAAACCAACAAACTTCATGATTATCTTTTATATTAAACGCTACAGTAACAGCTATATTAATTAACTTGTTAATTAACCTCTACTTTATGGTTTGCATTTTATTTAATCAGCTTCAGACTGTAGAATATCTGTTTGCAAACATAAAAAAAATGTATTTGGGTTATTTTCTTGTGTCTCACTTTTGTTGTTTCATCATTTTCACCTTCATACTTCGAGATCTGATTTTCACAGGTAAAACAAAGATTGCCTTTCTTAGGATCCTCCTGACATTTGTGAATCTGTTGCTTCTATAGGGGGTTATTTTTTATCCAACAGATGAGTTAAAATAAATGGTCAAAATGTCTTAATTTATCCAACACTTTCCCAGTGATACACTGACATATCTTACTAGCTTAGATTTTCCCTCTAAACCACAACATTTATTTGTCAAACTACTAATGGCTTCTGTTAGGAATTATCAATATGTGTGTCAGGTTGAGTGGAGGTTTTAAGGACCCAAATGCAGAGGCAGGGAGGCAGAGGTGAGTTCTTGAAGATTTAATTGAGTGTTCACAAGCAACAGAGGCAGGAATCCAAGAATCCAACATAAAAATGTAAAACAAACCAGAACCATGGAGACATCGGGGAAGCATGAGGAGCCAGGGAAAGACGGGGAAAGATAAGGAACCAGCACTGAGGAATTGCACAGGTAGACTGAACCATGACAGGACTAATGAGCTGATTGGGAGCAGGTGTGGAGGGAGGATTCTAGAAGGGAGCGAGGGAAAAGGAGACCAACACAAGAGGGCAACA